ACTCAGAGCATCGCGCCGGCAGCTTCGTTAGAATTCTTCGTAATTACGTTTCGTCATTGACGCAAACTTTATCGCTGCTTTAACGAAAGCCTTGGGCCTTGTGCTAATGTAAGTGTTTAAGCAGTCGTGAGCTTTTCGTCTTGAACGATATTAAAGAGAATAGAATGATAAAACTTGGTAAATAATATGTAATTATTAAATATAAAACAAACGATCAACTGCAGTATATTTAATACAATCAGATACGGTAAATACGAGGGTAAATATATGTCATGTACCTATTTAGTAGCATTAATAATAATTATCACACATCATCTGTTTTTTTTTTTCTAAATGCACAGCGTGTAAATATCATAAATAATGCCAATTATATTATTAAAATTTTCAGTAGATATACTTATCACATTACAAATTAGATTTGATTAATATTTATAAATTATTAATTAATAGTAAAAATTAATAGATATCTATATAAAATCTATAAATTAATTCTATTAATCAAATGAAAATTAAGACGTATTTATACGAATTCATAAAATATAAAGAATTTAATTAATACGGATTATTTTGTTAAATTGTTACGGGAATAAAACCATTTTAAGCTTTCCAGTCAGCAACTCTCGACGTGGCGATATGTTCACCATTTATTTCGTAAAGTCATGCTTTATCTTCATCTGCCGACACAATTAGTCGACTCGTAGATGTTTGCGCGAATACTGGAACTTGATCCTCAACAAAGAATTAAAATTATGTTTAGATAGATAATTTGAGCAGGAAGATACACTGTGAATTTTTACATGAAAACATAACAATAAAGATACATACAGCTAGATCATGAAATAAATTTGAATCGTGCGCGCCATTGATTCCTGTATATCATTGTTTTACAAATATGAAATAAAATTATTTTTTAGAAAACCTATCATACAATTGTCGCGAACTCTTTCACCTTTCATATCATATCAAAAATTTTACATCTAAATAAATCGCTTTGTAGGAAAATCGAAATTTTTTATTCTTTGAAAGAAAAAATTTCGCGATCTACTTTCAGATGTAATTATCAAATGCAAATTATTCCTAAATTATTCTTGGTTGCAAAAAGAAGCGAGTAACGGTTCGTTGGCGACGAGATACCTGTTTTTCATGCTAGAGAGGCAAGTAAGAAAGCGACTCGAGAGGAAAACCGTGATGACGCATTAATGAACTGATTTGACAGAATATTGATGAATAGCATTTTGATATGAAGTATTACAAAGTTTTTAATTTATTTGCTCACAAACTCCTCTCATTAAAACAAAAATAAATTTTACGATATCGCCTCTCTTACTTTTAAAATTTATACGCACATCTAATATCTGCTCGTATGCATATATTGAGAAAAAATGAACGAAAACGTCACAGAAAGAAAGAATATCTTTTTAAAATGTCCTCGAAACAAATAAATATTTCTTCTCGCGCTGTATTTATCTGTTTCTAATATTTTTTTAATACAGCGGAACAGTTGCGTTCCAATATTGTATATGTTAACGATGCATTGGTGGTAGTAATATTTGTTATTCATCGAATAATCTTATTGTACCATAGGATTGCCATAGTCTGTGAGCGTAGAAAAATATTTATATCATGACGTGGCGATACGAAAATGACATTCGCGAAATTTGCATTCGCGATGCTCATATGTCTCGTGTACGGGTAGTGGGTAGCTACGTGAGTTGCGTAGAGAATTATCCAAATACTCGTTACGCAAAATTATTAATCGCATTTTGTTCTTTCATGAAGTGTACGCATACCCCAGGAAAATTGCGCGCTATTAATCCTTTCAGGTATAAAGATATATGTGTTCCCATTAAAGTCTAATGCGCGTGCGTGTATTTCAAAAATTTATGAACGCTTTGCTTAAAAATTTATACGGTTTATATAATTTTGTGACCATATATTAATAATTTGTATTCCTCGTTTTATTATATTCAAGGCTGTTAAAAACAGACATAAATAAACATTATAATTACGTGAAAAATAAAACTGCAGTGGTTTTTAATTCCTGTTATAATTAGTATTATTTCCTGTATATTTCTTTTGTAAATTATTATTTTTATTTTAAATTAATTCCATAATATCTATAGTAAATAAAAAGTAATGATCATTAAAATTATCGTTAGTGACTAGTTTACGTAAAAACTGTTAATCAATATAAGGTACACTTATCTGCGATTCTTTTATCGCTCGTATGGACTGTGAATAAGAGAGATAAGAGAACGACTCCATGCATAGAACTATATTAGGGGTTGCAAGCTGTCCATTTCGTTCGCACGACCAACGAATTTTTATAAATAAAACTCCGATAGATTATCTAGAATATACTATTGGTATTTACGTACTACATTGATATTTGAGTTGAATGCTTAGCGTCATGACGCAAGTTTCATGTGCGTTATCCGCGGAGAAGTAACGGAGCTTCTAATATTCTTGCTTGTTCATGAATTTACCTTCATATAATCGTAAAAAAGGAGTAATCATATTTAAAAAAACGGAGATATTTGCAGCTTCAGAAAAAATAAAAGTATTGTGTATTATGCAATCAGCTATAAATATAACAATCCAATCTAACTGGCATTTCTTTAAATTATATATTCCATGTAAAATATAACTGTTGTTTACAATCCATTCGATTGAATCGTAGTGTACAAAGTAATATTCAATCGTGGCACATAAATTATTCCTATCTGTTGAAAACAAATTGTGTAAGATCCTCCGCCGGCGATTCAAAATTCAGCGCAAACTGTTAATCAATCAAACAGTCCAGACGGTTAGCTAGAATATTCTGTTTGCAGGACGAACCGATACCCCGCCAATACGTCACGGTCCGCTTAAAGCACACGTTCAATTATTCATGAAATTGTCGGCGAACGTCACGCCTCATACGTCCCGAGATCATGTTCCATTCGGAGATCACATATGAGTCCGACCGATGCCCGAGAACTGTCAAGATTGACTTCAGTGAGAGACTTCGCGAGCGAAATACTTCGCTTTTCAAACGGTTCGAATTGTCAATTTTTGCACACACAAAAAAAGAATCTATTAAATATAATTTCTTTCGGTGAACGAATTCTTTCGCACTGGAAGAGCATTCACACGTGAGAAATATATATACGCTAAAGTTTTAAAAACGACATAAATAATGTTAGTCGAGTATACCGATGTTTAATATTTAATCGATATCTTATCGGGAACTTCCTTAAACCAACTGTGCACTTCTTCGAAGAAGCGTGTAAAAAATAACTCGACGGAGGAAAATTATTCGACCGCGGGCATCCTTTTCGCACATTCCCCTCCGCTTATCTCGCGTTGGTTGCAAGCTCGTAGTTATTTCACGCGCGCGCGAACGCGACTAATTAGAAACGCATTATTACCATCTCCGCCCTACGGGAGAGTAATTAATTAAGCGGTCTCGACAAGAAGACTGGCCGTAAGAATTCTACGACCGTTACAAAACTGCCGTTAATAAATCTAGGCTAATTAGTTAGGAGGCGAAGGCGAGTTACGTGCGCCGACGTGTTTTATGCATTGTTCGAGCCGAGTTTACAAAGTACGACGTGCACATTATAGTCGTCGTCGTCTCAATGCGAAAACATCAACGCGCATATCCAACTCTCGGTCTCGCGCCTGCAAAAAATCGATTAATACATTTTTCACGATTCGTATAGTTTTTTTTTTCATAATCGCTCCCGTCTATCGTATATCGTCTTGGTTCAGAGACATCGTTTATATTACTGCTTAGAAACATATAATATAAAACTGATAAGACTGACTCTACAAACTGATAAATTTTGAATTTTTTGAACAATTATCGATTAACATAATATTATATGTATTATCATTGTTGATTTCGGCTAAGCATAATTGCAGGATTATTATAGAAGGGTATTATTAGAAAAAATAACATTAAATAGACAATTAAAAGACTCGTGTCTCTTCTTTAATGAAGATAAATCTATTGGTAAAAATAAAAGCGTCGTATTAAAAGCGTAAACTCGCGAGAATGATAGAAAAGCAAGTAAGAGATTCTGTTAAGTTTCGCTAAAAACTGCGAAAAAGAAACGCGCATTCTAGTATTAATGATCCATTCACTGTATCGAAAAAAACTGACAAATGCGAATGAATCGTTCATCTGATTCCCGAGAATTACAGACAAATACAAAGAGCGACAGCTGATCTCGAGAGTTGATTACCAATGCGTGTCTATTACGCCTTAATTACAGTTTTGTGAATCACGTCAGAAGTTCTAAGCAATTAAGACAGATTTAGTGCGAACTAAAGTAAGATTCAGTCTGCTGACGACGATAAGTATACGGTAGTGAAAAAAATCAAGTGTTAACTTTAACCCCCAACTTGCCAAAAGTTAAAAAAGTTTACTCATAACATTATAAAGCTGCTACATCCATTTTTCAGTGTACCTAATCGGCAACTATTTAGTCCAGCTTTCACAGTCGGAAATTGATTAATTAAATTGATACCAGCCGTCCGCTCTGAGATCGTTTATCGTCCTAAAAGTGGCGATTTAATCAAATTTACAACAGCATTTACGATCGGGCTTGAAATGTCGAAAGGTCAATATATTTAATTAATTCTTTTAAGCAGCGATATCGCCATTAACTCCATTAACGACGGTTCTAGTGGCCGGAACAATCGATAATTAATCGCTTAACTCAATACACCAGCATGAGTATTTTAATGCGCGCGCGAGGTACGATCGCGATCGCGATCGATCGTCCACGTGACTCGATTCTCGCCACCACGCGCTCGCGGAATGGTTGGCGAAATCCTGAGGAATGATCAGAAACGGGCGGGGGCGCAACAGTTGCGTGGGTGGATGCGCATCTGATAGAGTGGAGCGGGCGGATGGTAGCGGGGACCGGAAGAGGGATGAGAAGCACACGTAGAAGGGGGTTGAAACCCGGCGGCTGACGTGACGGCCTCAGTATTCATCTAGCATTCACGTCGCAAGCAACCCCATCCACGAAACTTCGCGAGAAATCACGTCCGTCGAGAAAGAAAAGATCGGTTCGCGATTTAACGCGGGATCGCGATCGGCTGTCGATCGAGATCGGCTTTTCACTTGACACTCGGGCAAATTGATTTTTGTGGAGCTCTCGTGTCCTCTCGTCGCGTTACTTCGATTCGCGCTTAGTTTGCACTAAAAGGGAAAAAAGTAATCGCTCGCCGAAGTGCGATCAGTGGTGACAGTATCAAAAATGCAGAGAGCCATCTCTAAATCAGTGCGTCGAGGCACTTCGACGTTACGTGAGCGTAGCGATCGCAATTCCGCCTAGAAGTTCGATATTAAGCAGCGATACCACGTGGAACTTCGTCCACGAGATTTCCAATCTTCACTCGCGGTTTGGATTTACGAGTAAATTATATGATAAACAAATTCTACTGCACATTTCATTGCACATTCATCAATAAAAAATTTCGTGAAACTTTTGAAAGACATCAGATATATATGTAGAGCGATTTTTGGAAAATTACATATGATTAAACAACGACATATTTATATGTGATATAACCTAATAACAACTTATATATATATACTTCCACATTTCTCGTAAAGTTTACAAAGTTCATTATTCATCTTAAAAAAGAAAAAATATATATGATTTAATTCATTAATAGATATAAAATTTTCAGGGGTATTATATGCAATTGATGTTCTTTTCGTATATTTTATATTATGACATTAATTTTTATATCACGTATTAAGAACCACTTAAATTGAAGTAAAAATTAAAATAAAAATTGAAGTAACCACAATGGCAATTACGATGATTAATTTCTGTTCACGCAAGTTACTATCGAATATAGATCTCGATCCTTTGAATCGAATTATATCCCGGCTTCTCGTTCATTATAGACCGCAAATTGAAGTTTCTTAGCACAAAGTTCAAAGTTCAGCGTTACAAGTGAGCTGGAAAATCCGAAATGATGTGCGGGCGTGATAAAAACTAGATGAACATGTACATACATATCATACCGATCCGCGTAATATTTCAATAATATCGCACAACTGACGACACTCCTACGCGACGTTCGCGCAATAGAATGTAGATCCCGGTAATCATGGTATTTGCGCCAGAAACGCGAGTGTGAAACTGCGGGAAAATATCGGAAAAATAGAAAACGCGGCGAAAAAAATAGCATTGACAAAAAATCCAAACAATATAGGCATTAATATAGATTATCGGTATTACGAGATATATCCGAGCCTATTTTATCTGTATAACTTCTTTCTCTCGTTAAAAGGGAAACCAATTTTTTCTTGAAATAATTATTCCATGAAACTCTTGAACTCTAATGCAATTTCCAATATTCAAATAATTAAAATAAAGAATTAATATTAATGAGTGGAAAAATAAATTTTTATAATTCTCTCTCTTTCTTTCTCTCATTTTTATATCTGTAATTATAAAAATGTCTGGATATGTTGGACTTGATATATTTATCACATTTACAATTTTTATAAAAGTGACATTTTTTCATTTGGAAATTTTATATAACTTACAATGTAAGTTCGTGATATAATAATGAATGAAAAATGAAAAAAAGTAATAAGTTATGCGATTGAGATACACGTAAGATATGCCAATATCTTTATTGCGCAAAATTCTTCCTTTGTTTCTTAACTTGTTTGTACTTTAATTATTTTCATGCAAATGCATTATACGTTACTTTTTAAAGGGCTCCAGCATTATCAATATTGCAGCCAATGCTGTGTTAATTTAATATTTCACTTCGCAACTTCCTTTAAGAATTCCTCGTACATCAATATTAATAAAATCCATGTCGACAATTTAAATTGTGATTAATTTGGATCATATTAATAAGCGAATTAAAATACGAATTATATATTGATTGACGATATCAGAATTTTGTGTGGTTGAATATATGTTGGGAATATTCGTATCGATTGCGACAGTTGCAAAAAATTGTCATATTGCGTTCGCTAATTCAATTTAGTATAATCTCGGTACATATAAGCCAAAAATACAAAATGTGACAATATTAAACTATCATAATGGTGTCTCGCAGAATACGAGACTTGCTTTTGATATATCGATTCATTGACTGGAAACATTCATATTTACGGAACGGTACAGTTGTTATTTAAATGCTGAATATACGCTACCGTTTACACGAAATAAAAGGGGGTCATAATTAATTAATTAAAACAAGTAATTGGACTCCTGCGTGAAACGTAGTGGAAAAATTGAATTAAAAATTTTATTTCAGCGTATCACAAATAAACTGTTCCGCGAATACATTAATTCGCATAGGAATAAAACCTTTTCCCGTGATCTACACAATTGCATATGATATTTTTTCCGGCACACAGATAAAATTTATGGACAAATTCTCGTAGGTGGCATAGATGGATTCTGAATAATTGATGGATTCTAAAAATGTGAAAGGTTTTCTCGTCAGTTCTTCAAAGAGAAACGAGATTATTAATGCAATTGCATAATTTACAAACTGCTATAGACGAACCAGATATCTGTTAACGAAATCCGGAAGCTCATCTTCGTTCGTGGCCTTATTGGTCGCCATACCTCATTAAAACTAGGAAGTCGATTGCGTTTCTAATGAAGCTCCAGTAGAAAGAATTATCCACCTTTTTCTTTCATCATGTTACGTTGTTTCATCCTATCTGACGGCAAAGATTTCATTTAGCTTCAAAAAACTAAATTTGACGATGACATCATTTAACTCTTTATGAATGCATTTTCAACATGAACTATACGGCTTTTTCATATTAATTTTTCAAGTTTATTTTGCGCGATTGTAATCTATTGTTAACATTACAAAAGTGAGAGAATAATGAAAAAATTATTTTTTCTCTGAATATAATTTTTTCGTAAAAAAAACACACACACACAAATTAAATCCGTAGATGATTAAGAATTACAAAAAATTACGTAATTTTCATTGAAACTCCGATTTTGAAAACCGATAAGATAATAACGTCATTTACGAAATTAATTAATTAACGAAATAAATCTGATAATATCATGTGATAAAATATGATTATGTACAAAAAGACGAGAGATAAACTCGCATTCAGAATATAAATACTCTCTCTTCCATTTAAATTCTTTTTATTCTCTCACACTGATACTATTCACTTTCTACCATTTGCGAGTCATTCTCTGTAAGAGAAGATGAATCGTCACGGAGAGACTGATGGAAGCAATGCGGCGACAATATCCCGATATTTACTTCCAATATAAATCGTTAAAGGCGTAACCATTTCCTGTCACTTTCGTACGTGAAAAAGAATGTAAACTGTCATATCTGCCTTTTTCAAAAATTATCAAAATATATTTGTTTAATAAATAAATTTATCTATTTGGCTCTCGTTTCCAAAATAAAATTATTAATTTCTACAAATATGTGTAAACTCGTTTAACGGTATTTGTTGTAAAAATAATCGATATTTTTATATTCAAATTAATAATTGTTAAATAATAATGACAACCCTTTTATTTTTTATTACTAGTTTAAAACAGAAAAGGTTATGCTACTTCTCCACGTAATCTAAATGCACAGCGTGTTACAGTATTCTATCAAGCTAAGTAAAATGGAAACTGATTAAATAATAATATTAATTAATATTTCGTTCCTCCGAGGAAAAAATTCCTCCAGAGTAAAATGACAAAATCATTTTCGCGTTACCCTCCGCGCAGAGAGTTTCTCCGTAAATCACATCATTTCCGCAGGGGACGATTACTATGGAAGGCGATTCCTCTAAATTCCTATCCACTCTACACGACCATCGTAACCGGAAACATCGTGACACCTCCTTCCATTTTTCTCGATAAAAGTTTACGCGCAATTGAGCAAAAACATCGACACGTATTATTTTCTATCGATAGCCGTGGTTCTTTCTTTTTTGTTAACAAATGCTTAAAAGAAAATCCGATAAAAGAATGTAAGAATCGCTATAATATTCAGTAAGCGACCAGAAGAAACATACAAATAGACATTCTTGCAAATTAAAATCCGCAAATTAAAATTCTTATCTCCGACCATCGACTAATTTCTGCTTGGAATATTCAACTCTCGCAATACACTTCAGTTATACACGCGGTTGTGCCACCGCGCGCAATTTGCACGACAGCCCTCGGTTCTTCTTCTCTTTTTTGGTCTTTTAATCCCACACGAGACGTCAGGCTTCTTTCAACCTGTTCCTAACGAGTCACGGTTGTATATATACATAAAAGCCTCGTCTGAGAGAAATATAAGCGAATTTCTGACAAGCTCTCGTCACTAATTATCCTGAAATTTAGATACATTTTTCAATGAAGTTTTCCGATAGAAAAAGAATTATAAAAAATCGAATTTGGGAGGTGAGACTTTATCGGTACTGTAACTGGATGAAAAAGCGTAATATATAGAAACAGCTGACGAAAGCGATACATCGCCATGGAGGCAAAATGAATCCCGTGTCGGTAAGAAATCCAATTTGCGGCCGTGTTAGAAACTGAGGAACCGATCGTTGATGAAAGATTTTAAAAGTAACGATAAAGGGAAAGACTATTGCTGTGCGCAACGCAGCGAAAAACGGACGAGATTTCTGTCGGAGAAAAAATAACGTTTATAACGGATAATTCATTATTGCAGGATTAATTATCGGACCAATCGTGGGCGCAAAAAAAAAGAGTTAAAGTATAAACTACGTTGCGAGTTGATTGTGATGCAATGCAAAGAAAAATATTCTCACGTGAAATGAGATTTGTCGCCAGTTCAACGTCGGAACAGAAATAAAATGAAAACAAAAATAAAATATATTTTATCGGTTTTGGATGTGTGTATTAGATAGGAGAATCGCACACCATTAACGAACGAAATTAAAAGATCAAATCGCAGACAATAATTTACGCGCTACAAAAAGTATCCTATATAAAAAAAGAAGTAATCATCCATGAAAAAATAAATAAGAATTAATTGTTGAATTAAATTGAGATAAAAATAAGATAATTGAGATTTAAAAAATGATACAATTACTTCTTTTTATGGACTTAGCCAACGTGTGAATTTTAGTATAACTATATAATTATACAAAGTTTTAAAGATAAAAAAAAATAGCTTCTCTCGCACTTCTCTCGTATCAAATATGTATCTATATCGCTAGAACTCACACGTGTACTTACATCATGACAGCTGCTCCTACATATTTCGCGCTCGCACACATTGCCAATGCTAACTAAACAATTCCTGCCGTTCTATTCTAAACCGTTAATATGACTCATATTTCTGCTATGCGAATTGTAATTTTCCATGAGGAATAATGTACTGGAAATTCGATAAGGAATTCGGGTTGCTTCCCAGTTTAGCGACTTGTGGAACGCCAGGGCC